AAACCATCAACCTGTAAGTTATCGCTGTGCCAACAGGGCTCCTTTGTGGTGGCATCAACAAAGTCAAATGTAAATACCAGTAGACCACTTGTGTTTGCAAAATAAGGCCGGTGGGAGTGGCAGGGGGTTTGGAAAGAGCCCTTCCTGAGGGAATATTCTCCAGAGGAGCTGAGGACAGAGAGAGCTGGAGGAAGTCACAGCGGGGGTGGGGACAGGACAGAGGTCAGAAAACATCCTCCCGCTGCCTGGGGCCCTAGAGGGGCTTTGTACTTCAAAAGACTGAGAGAGAAAGAGAAAGAAACTGACTCTTCAGTTCCTTTTTTTTTTTAAATTTTTTTTTACTATTTTTAATTTTTTTATTGAGGTATTAATGAAAGTTTTAGAGAACTTGGATTTCCAGTCATTCATTGTTGCACATTTTTCTCCCTCCCCCTCCCCAGTTTGCTTTTCTCTTTATAACAATTCTTTCATTGTTGCATACAAATAATTTTTAATTGTGATTTTAATTAAAGTTTACAGAGGACTTGGATTTCCGTTCATTCACTGTTGCACCTTTCTCCCTCCCCCCACCCTCAGTTAGTTGTTCTCTTAAAAAATTCATTCACTTTTGCACAATTTCCTTGTCCTCCCTCCACCCCATCCCCCAGTCTGTTTGCTATGCACCTCTTATTCTGGACTGTTGTCATGCAAACTTATTTTATATATTTAAAATATATATTTAAAAATTAAGATATATATTAAAATAATGTATTTTAATCCTATATTCCTTTTAAACAGTTCTTTCCCTCATTTGCTTCAACGCAGTGTTCATTCTTTATCCCCTCTTTTCTTAGTTTGCCCCCAACCCCCATGTCAATCCTGTTTACTCCACTCTTCATTTTCAAGGCCGCAAGCCATGCCATGCTCATATAACCCTAAGCAATAGAAGATGCTGTGAGAAGGATAAATTCTCATGTTAGCTCCTGTGAAAATGACAGCTTGGGCAAAGCAGGCTGCATGGCGAGCTCTGACCCAGTGGTGCTGTGGACAGGGCCAGGAACAGGGCACGCAGCTACAGAAACACATGTCCCTTATCAGGTAAGAAACAGCAGGATAAACTGAAGGTCTCCAAAAGGAGCTTTGTTTGTCTGGGGTCCCCTCTCCCCCAGTGAACTGGCAGGGATTCCCGGTGGTCTAGTGGTAAGGAGCTGCCAACTCAAAGGCTCATGGTTCAAATCCACCAGCTGCTCCGCTGGAAAAAGGTGAGCAATCTCCTCTCATGAGACTTACTGCCTCTGAAAACCTGAAGGTCAGTCAGCTAGAAAAGTTGGTTCTGACTTGACAGCACACAACAACAACAACAACAACAAAATACAATCCACTGGCAGCTAATGTGTCAGGCTGAAATGCCCATAGTTTTTATCCTCTAGTTTCTCCTCCAGAGAAAGATGG